AAGTGTGCTGGGATGGAAGCGTGCTGGGATGGAAGTGTGCTGGGATGTGCTCAACACACAGAGGGGTTTTGCCCTCAGAGTGGAGACTATTCCTAGTCCTGGCTGTGCCTTGGAGTCAGGAGACTTGTCAAAATATCTCCTTGCCTCCTGTAGCTGCTCTGTCCAAGAGCAAGGACCTGGATGTTTGTCTTGTGGCAGAGTGGATTTGGTTCTGGGACAAATCCTGTGCTGTGGATGGGCTCGGGCAGGGCTGAGTGGAGAAGGCTTGGCCCGGGCTCTGATTCAGGACAAATATCCCGTGTTGTACATGGGCTGAGCTGGGTCTGGGTGGAAAAGTCTTGGCCTGGGCTCTGATTTGAATCCCTACTTTTTCTTTCAGTGGTGTCTGACCTGTGTGCCACTGGAGACCATGACTGTGAGCAGATCTGTGTGAGCACCCCAGGAGCCTACAAATGTGCCTGCAAGGAGGGCTTCACCCTCAACAATGATGGCAAGACCTGCAGTGGTGGGTGATGGTTTCCACCTGCACTGAGCAGAGCTGGGAGCTCAGTGGGATGGGGAATAGGACTGAGCCAGAGCAGCTTCTGTTCAGAGAAGGCACAAAAGGAAATCATGCACTTACATCATACTATAAAAGGAAACCATGCACTTGTATACTTTTATAATATATAATTTTAAAATCATTTCGAAAACATTGCTGTGAACTGTTGCTGAGTTTTGATTGATTAAACCCATTTCCTTAGCCATTAAATGGCACTAAAATTCAATTTTCCTACATAACTAATTGGGGACTTTTTTTTTCTCTTTTCTTTTGCCCTCTCCTCACGTGTTTCCTCAGCTTGCAGTGGTGGGCTGGGATCTGCTCTGGATCTCGTTTTCCTGATCGATGGCTCCAAGAGTGTGAGGCCTGAGAACTTTGAGCTGGTGAAGAAGTTCATCAACCAGATCGTGGACTCGCTGGAGGTGTCGGACAAACAGGCCCAAGTGGGGCTGGTTCAGTACTCCAGCTCTGTCAGGCAGGAGTTTCCTCTGGGGCAGTTCAAGAACAAGAAGGACATCAAAGCAGCAGTGAAGAAAATGTCCTACATGGAGAAGGGGACCATGACAGGCCAGGCTCTGAAGTACCTCGTGGACAGCTCCTTTGCCAGCATCAATGGGGCCAGGCCCGGCGTGCCCAAGGTGGGCATTGTCTTCACTGATGGCAGGTCCCAGGATTACATCACAGATGCTGCCAAAAAAGCCAAAGACTCAGGTAGGCCTCCTCAGTTCTTGGTGGCTTGTTTCTCCCTCGGACCAGGTACTGCCTTGTGTATCAACCCAGGATTCTTTCCCTGGAGATGCCTCTTCCTTAGGGCACAAACAGGTTCCTGCAGGTGTGTGGAGACACTTCCTGCCTGTGCTTGGATGCTCATAGAGAACTTGGAGCCACCCTGGCTGGGGTTCACGTGCATCTTGGTTTGCCAGTAGCAGGTTTTAGTCCTCTCTGGCTCTTTGGTTTCAGTCTGCTGGAGGTGTTTCTGCTGGGCAGGGTGGAGTTTCCCACACTTGGGATGGGATGGGATGGGATGGGATGAGATGGGATGGGATGGAATGGGATGGGATGCACACCAGTCATGCTAAACACAAATGTCAAGGAAACTGAGGATGCCCCATCCCTGGAAGTGTCCAAGGCCAGGTTGGAGCAACCTGGACTAGTGAAGGTGTCCCTGCCTATGGCAGGGGGTGGAATGAGATGCACTTTAAAGTCCTTTCCAACCCAAACCATCCTGTGATTCTGTGATTTGTCTGGGGTTGGCAATGAAATCCAGCTCTCAGTGGCACATGTGGTGAGGCAAAGATGACCATCAGAGAGCCCCTTGGAGAATAACAGGAGCTGTAGGACCAGGTGTGGTTTGGCTGTCTCAACCTTGAGGCCTGAAAAAGGAAAATAAAACAATAACCAAAACAGAAATACAGATTAAGAATAACTATGGACTCCCTGGCACGCTCATAAGAAACTTTCTTCAGCTTCTCTTGTTTAGTAAAAGTGCCCAGTGGCCAAATATTGATACATTAATTTGCCTAAACCCCATAAAATATTAATATCTGGAGATGTGCCCCTTTGCTGACCTGCTGAGCAGGTTCCAGTCTCTGCCATCCCTGAGTTAAATGGACACAGCCTTTGTGAACTCACTCATGAATTGCTAAATCCTCTCCTTCCTTTTAACTTCGGGCTCCGCCACTAGATGGGACTAAGGACCAGCACATCATCACCAGGGTCAGGGACGAGCTCTGGAAAGCCAATGTTTACAGAGCAACTTGACATGTTGTGAGGACGTTCAGCTCTTATAAACCAGAGTGTCTTTATAAACTGCATTTACAGAATTTATTCCCCTGTGATGATAAAATTTTATGCCTTGTTTCTTCCTCCCCTTTTGACCCTACAAGGAAATCTCCAATCTCTGTCCCCGAGTTATTTCTGTGGGATGAATAACAAGGAGTTTCTAACGAGACTCCAGACTTGTTCTTTGAGTTTACTGTGGAAAAAACAAACAAATATTTGATTCATCCAGAGCTGGAAAGACAAGGCAAAAAGGGGAGGAGGGGAAAGGATTACCAAGAAAAGCTCAAGGAGCGTTTGGAAACTGCTCTCAGGGATTGTTGGGGTGTCTGTGCAGTGCCAGGAGTTGGACTGGATGATCCTTGTGGGTCCTTCAAGCTCAAAGTATTCTGTAATTCCATGAGTCTAAGCAGAGACTAATATTTTGGACCTGGGGTTAATTGGTATCATCATCCAAAATAGGCAAGCTGGGCTTTGGTTCAGCAGAAACAAGTTTAAGGCAGAAAAGCACAATAGCTGAACGTGTTCTGAACTGCCAGGGCATGCTGCTCTTGACAGACTGATTGCAATTTTAGGAGGAGAGACAGCTCTAGCACAGAGGACTTTGCCCCTCGTGGGCTGGTCAATAGTGGCTGCAGCCTGTTTTGGAAACTTCCACTGTTTCCTTTTGCTGTGTTATCTCTTCCTTATCACTTGGATGCGTGACCCTGTTGGGGTGTTACAACCATCTGTCCTTTCTTTTATCTCCAAAAACCTTGTTCTTGTGGTCACAGTGGCCACCATGTCCTCCCCATCCCCACAGCAGCACCTCACAGTGACCACATCCTGCACCCACAAGGAACTGCAGCCCCTTTCTCCCCACCCACCCTCCCCTTACCCCACCACCACAGCTCATCCTCTGGGCACCACATCCTCCTCCATGCCCAGGCTCAAGCCCCTGGAGATGTTGAAAACTGATTTCCAGAGCTTTGGGAAACCCATGAAGTTGGTCTGTACCTGAGCTGGGATCAGGTGCCATCTGGTAAATTCTAGGAAGACTTTTCCTGCAAACATCCTTTTGAACCCTGGCTGAGCTGGCTGGAAGGAGCTGGAGTGGTAGAGGCAAAGGGGTTAATTTGCCAATTAACATCTGGAAAGTGTGGGACTGGGGGTGCAGAGGGGGGATGAGGATGTCCAGCCTGGCAGGGGGGTGGTCCCATCCCAGCTCCATGTCCCACTGACAGGTTCCTGTTGCTCCCAGGCTCCCCATCCCCACAGCAGCACCTCACAGTGACCACATCCTGCACCAACAAGGAACTGCAGCCCCTTCTCCCCACTCCCCCTGCCCCTACCCCGCCACCACAGGTCATCCTCTGGGCACCACATCCTCCTCCATGCCCAGGCTCAAGGTGATGAACATGTTGACAACTGATTTCCAGAGCTTTGGGAAACCCATAAAGTTGGGCTGAGCTGGGATCAGGTGTCAATAAATACATGATCCCAGCTTTGGAATCAGAAACTGGAATACTTTATTGGACTTACAACTTGATATTTAAGGGGGTTAGGGTCTACATATTCAACAGGGGGTTTGCATATTCATTTTATTACAATTGAGGGTTTCACAATGGTGAGATAATAGGGAAAAACCCAGGTTAACAAATCTTACATCACAGGAAAAACCCACTTTATCTCGGGGAATTTCCATGGGGAGAAAGGTATTGGGTTTACAGAATGAAAGGATTGAGGGAACACAAAGGGAGAGATAAAACACAAAAGGTCTTCTGCACAGGTTTGATGAGATCAGGGCATGGTTTCTCCTGGCTTGGACAGGACATTCCAAACCCATGACATCAATGGATCCTTGTCTGGACTCTGGATGAAGGTTTTTTCCCCAGCTTCTGTCAGCCCAAAGCTTTTGTTTAAACTTAGCAGTTTTCTTTTTCTGATATCCAAAATTTGGAATCCAACAATCAGGTGACCAAGCCAGACTCCTCTGATAAATTGGAATAAGACTTTGCCTGCGGACATGCTTTTGAACCCTGGCTGGAAGGAGCTGGAATAGTAAAAGTGAAGGGGTTAATTTGCCAGTTAACAGCTCGGATGTGTGGAACTGGGGGTGCAGGAGGGGTGGTCCCATCCCAGCTCCACGTCCCACTGACGGGATCCCGTTGCTCCCAGGCTTCCGGATGTTTGCTGTGGGAGTTGGCAACGCCGTGGAGGATGAGCTGAGGGAAATCGCTTC